ACAGGGGTCAAAAAAATAGGGGGGGGGGGTTAAAAAAATATGCTAGGGGGTGGAAAAAATAGGGGGCCCGTGTCTTCGCGGAGGGTTTCGGCGCCGAGGTCCTGTTTTGCCGCCGAGGTGGCGCAAGTCGCACTGCAAAGACCCGTAGTGAATCATGTGCGGTTCTTAATAATTGGAATTTTGGTTGCCTGTCGTATCATGGTACACGTATGTAGGGACCATCGAAGAGAATACTGTTACTCACTGGTCCGGCCTCCATGCACCCCTAGGACGACGACTAGCCCCGACGATGCCCTTAGTGATTCCCCCGATTCAGACGGTCTGGGGCTGAGGGTGTGAGGCTTAGGGAGGGGGGTCAAACTTTGGGTGTGAGGTCTCGAGTCTCGAGTGCGGGTCTGGGCAGATAGGATCATCTTGGAGTTTGTGGCGCGCGGCCGTTTTTCCTTTGCACGAAATCCAGGAAGCCAAACTTGCATTCACCTGTCAAGCGCGAAAACCTTCTTCAGTCCTGAGGCTTCTGAAAAATCTGACTTGAGACGTTTAACCCCCGCAACCCCATCACCTCTACCGTAGACCCTCCATCACAGCAGCAGCAGCAGCAGTAGCAGTAGTAGTAGTAGTAGCAGCAGCAGCAGCAGCAGCGGTTACAGCATCGTAGTTAGCAGTAGGTAGTAATTAGTAGTAGTTGTAGTTAGTTGTAGTAGTAGCAGCTTCTCGATACCCGCAGAGAATCTCACTGATGCAAGTCCTCCAGCTTCGCCCAGCACCATGCAGTGATCGCCAAGTCCTGAACTCTGGAGACTGCCCCCAACCTGGAGCCTTTGGAACGCTTGCCTCAGCCTGAACCCGGAGCCCTGAACCCTAAAACCGTAAGGTTTGTGAGGACGCCGGCGTTAAAATTCAGGATACGAACTTTGCACGGGGTGTAGGGGGCCTAGTGTTCAGCCTTCACGGTCTAACCCTTCATGGTTTGGGTTAAGGCCAAAGCTTTCGGGCTCATGACAGGGTTTCGGGTTCGGGGTATGGGGATCGTGGGTAGGCCATACCTAAAATAAAAGAAACAATGTTGAGACGGCTTCTGGCACTCAAGTTGAGTAGCTCTCATGGGGTTTCGTAGAGCTGCCTGGACGTACACGTTCCTATTGGGGTCATGCCACGGGTCTTACCCAAGTTGGCTTACGATGATGGGGTCCACCATAGCACGAGCACAAAGCCTCAACTAAACGTGAGAGCCCACCTCCTTTCAAGTCCCAAAGGACGGTCTATGAGGTCTAGGAGTCAAAGGCTCCAGCACCCTGTTCAAACCAATGCAGAAAGGCCAGTCCTGCCCTTCGAACTCACTGCAGCGTGCAATGGAAGCGGCCGCAACAGCATCCAACAGAGGCCAGTCGTGCCTCGAACCGATCAGACTGCCAGGGCTTCGTAGAGCTGACACAAACCTAAGGACCCTTGAAAGATCACATGGCTTGTTGAGATTTGTTTAGAAGTAGCTGACACTGATGGTGGAATTGCTGAACTTCGAGTAAACAAGTTGCGCGGTCAGGTCCAAAATGAGCTTTCCCTTCGCTATCTGAACTGCTATGTGGTTGTTGCTGTTGTTGCTTCTGACGCTGTTGCTGTCGCTGTCGCTGTCGCGGTCGCTGTCGCTGTCGCTGTGGCTGTCGCTGTCGCTGTCGCTGTTGCTGTTGCTGTTGCTGTTGTTGCTGGCTGTTGATTTTTGGGTGGCAGGGTATACAGGGCTTGCATGTCTACCACCCTAACGCTCACTCTCGCCAAGCGGCGGGACAGCTTGTTGCTTGAATTTTCAGGGTTCCGGATTGAACGTATGAAAACCACGAACCTTGATTGGGCAATAGACGCAGTGGCACTATTCAGCCATAGCTGGGTCGAAGGCAAGCGAACATCCACAGCTTCTTCCGGCTAATGAAGACTAGGAACTGATTTGGAATTTGGAGAAGTTCTGGGCACTGGGCGCTACAGTATGGAAAGCAACCGGGACTGCAGGCCCACAGTCACTCCGCAATGGTCTTTTTAGCCTAACAAGCAGGCAGCTGTTGCATCGCATTGTGGTTTGATTCTTCCCAGAAGCCTCTTTAGGGTGCAATCTGTCGAACGGCTTCTCCTTTTTGTTACCATCACGTCGCTACCAGCGCCGTCGCCATGTTCTCGGGCAATCCGTAGATCAACACCTCGGCCGACCGCCACGAGAACAGGCTGCTGCACAACACGGAGTCACCCATTCGAGCCCCACGCGAGCAGGAGGACACCTGAGCCGCACAATCGCGATCCCAAAATTAAGGGCTTGGAGTTTGGAGTGTGGGCTTTAAGGCTTGGCTCCGCATTTTCCATTTACAGTATAGGGCCTAGGGTTTCGACTGTCACAGTTACACGAAGCAGCCAAGGCTTCACCGCGACTCGCCCCGCTAGGGTGACAAAGTCCACCCCCACGTTGCACATCAAGCCCGAGCTCACAGGATATAAGCAATCGTGACGAGCACAGATCACAAGCGCAAAACCGTGAAGACGCTTCCACACCAGGCTTGGCCTGCACCTCCAAAGGTTTCGGGCGCTCAGTGCGGCAGGGCCACCCAGCGAGTAGGCCGCCGGCGAGACCACGCCCCCTTCTGGGCCAAACACGCCACCTGGCACCAGGATGCGGATCATGCGCAGCTTGTCTGGATGGTTTACGGCAGCCCTTCAGCTTCCAATCGAAATCTTGGTGTTAGAGTCAGAGTCTGGAATGTGTCTTAATTGCCATGCGGTTTTATGGGTTAGGTTCTGGCTGCGGTTGCCACCTACCCAGCTGACTGCGGATGCCACACCGCAAGGACTGAGCGTAGAGGGTCGTGTTTTTGTTTGTCACGCGCCTGGTGTAATCAAAACCAAAATAGAAAACTCGAAAACCCTAAACCCTAATCAATACCCGGACATACCCCAACTACCTCAAAATCAGAACTCGACTGCCTAAATCCCTAAGCCCGCCGAAACACAGGCCAAACCTGAACCCGAAGTTGAGCTCAAGTTTCCTGGTCGAACCGGAGCCTAAACCTGAAGCCCCAAAACCCCTGTGAGGCATCCGCCATGGTAGGTCTCCTTCTCCGGATGCGGCAGCACCGAGATGAAAGTAGCCTCAGATGACTCGGTGTTTGTAGGTTTCGTGCGCCTTCTGGGTTCGAGCTCTCGGGGGATAGGGCACATGGGAGCTTCGGGCTCTTAGGGGTTGAGCTGATCTCCCGGAAAGCTTCCCACACTTGTGGCAGGACATGTTTTCGCGCTGGAGGATTGGGTAGTTCCTGAGAGTGAAACTCCCAAAACGTGTCTCGCAGAAGCAACACACAAGACAGGGCCCGAGACCCCAAAACATGCATCGCAAACCAACGCCCTGAGCCCCTCAAAGCTGAAACACTCCCTTTGCTGATGGCTGGGAATGTCTTGCGGAGGTCCGCCAAGCGCGAAAACTTCGCCCCTCCAGCAGATAGGGAATCCGATGCCTTCAACCCTAGAAGTCTTAGCCCTGAACCCCAAACTCTCAACCTTCTTTTTCCCAGTGGGCTCAAATCTAAACCATTGCACCCTCAACCCTCTAAGCCGAACCTTGAACCCTAAACTTTGCCCTAAACCCCCTAAGCCCGATCCAAGGGGGGATGATTCAGCTGACCTCTCGAGATGCGTCCATCGAGATATCCGACTGTCAAACGACCAAAAACCCAACCAAGGTCCAGTTGGAGTGCTTTCCGGGATTGGGTTTTGTCCGTGGGGTTTAGGCTTTTGGCGCTTTTTGGCAGCAAGATCAAGCTGAGCTCAAGGCCTGTGCACTTCCACATCCCTACTCGGCGGAGTGGTTTTGGGTTGGGGTTTGGAGCTTCGGGTAAACGCAAATGCGACCTGAAGCCGTCCACTCTTTGGTTAGCATCGTGCCGGGCCACTGATATCGGAATGCCACTTGTGCTCATGCCGAAGACGTTACCCATGGAGATGTTCCAGCCTGGGTGCATCATGGGCTCTGGGATTGTGGATTGAGGGATTCATTGGGGTTCGGCAACGTAACATGGCACACAACATGCCTGCGCGTCTGCTTGGAGAGTTGCCCCAGAAACCATTTCTCAAAATGTGAAGTTGAGACATCACTCAAATTCCTCCAACAGCACTCCCCAACACATCCCGTGGAACGAACAGTAAAGTCTATCTACTTAGGAGTGTTTGTGACTACACCAGTCCTCCCGTCGAATTTCTGATTGAGGACATTTTTGAGAAGTTAAAGGTGCCTCAAGTCCGGGCCTTGCATTTCAAGCAGGTGGGAACCGCTTATGGCCCCTAGAACGATCCGAGGTAAGAAGTTTCTCGTGGGAAGTCTATGCCGCAGATATCACATCTATCTGAATCTATCTATCGAACCATGTTTCTACCTGTCGGTGTATCTACATATGTACCAGCTGTCTATCTATTTCTGCACTCTCTTGTGCCCTGAAGCCCAAGCCCTGAACCCTGAACTCGAGACTACACTCGCTACCGCCAGAAGACGAAGATCCAAGGGCTTAAGGGGGCTTGCGACTTAAAAGGGTTTGAGGGTCTTAGGGATCAACATGGGACATGCCAGCCGACACTTGCCAAGTTGTCATTGAGCGCAGGGCTTGCTCAAGGCTCGCTTTTTGACACTCACACTGGATTGAAGTCCCAGGGCTTGGTCCGCTCTCGACTTGGTGGCTTGGGGGTTTCTTCTTGCAAGAGCTTCCTATATTCAGCACTTCCGGGATCTGGGCAGACAACGAAGCAGGCCATGTCCCCTAGCCGATGAGGGGGACCAGCAGCACCACAGCAACCAGTCCCAAGGCCGTGTGTATAGTGACAGTCCACTCCAAGCCAACAGAGGCAATGGCAGTTGGCATCCACTGCTCCGGCAGGGAGCCACAAAAGTTGGAGGCGCTTGCAAGCACAGAGATGATTGAACCAGAAATCAAAGGGTGTGTCGCAGCCAGGCCGTTGATGATGCTAACTTCAATTACGAAGATCGAATCGTTGATCAGTTTTCGCACTGCAGTGAGACCTGCATATGTCCAGTACAAGCTGCCAGCTTTCAGCATCTCCGGCGTCGCAGTTTCACAAGCACGCAAGTGCCAAATGGATGCGAAGTTCAGGATCACGAGCCCGAAGTAAAGTGACCTGAGACGGTGTGCTGGCCAATCCGCAGTCCCCATAAAGTATGCTGTGCAAAAGGACACCGGCACAACCAGCATGTTGAAGAATGCCAGTTTTTCTGGCGTCAGGCCAAATGCATCGTAGCGCTGGCTCTGAAAGTCCACGTGGCCATTGATGAAATTCAGCAGCAATAATAGCCCCAGGAAGTATCTTGCCCTGACACTCTGTGTAAGGAAGCCAAACACTTCCGTGACTTGATGTCGGAAGCCCCGTCCCTGAGCTGCCGCAGGTCTATTTCCAGGGATCCGCAGATACAGACAACCGGCAATAGCCACGGAAAGCATGCCTGCCGCCCTGAATAGCACGGAGAGGAGCTCCATGGTCTCAAACAGATCCTTCAGGTAGAAGAACACCTCGTTGGCGCCCAAACGGCCGATCTCCAGGCCAAGACCCTGGCATAGCGAAGCGTGCTCTGGTCGAAGCCTCGGGAAAACGAGGACATCACAAGACAGCCGTGCGAAGGGCAGATTGCTATTTACCGGTCAGATAGCGAGACTTGGTGCTGATGCCCAGCCCAGTGTCGACAAGACCATACCATACCAAATGTAAGATTCGTGTCTGTGGTGGCTACTTCATGCTACTGGTACTGAACGGAAACCCTTGCTTTTGAGAAGCACGGCACTTCTCCACACCCCAGCCATCCATCAGAATGTCTGCCAGAGCTGTCAGGGCAGCCAGCATGCCGATTAACGGCACAAGCGACCACAGGTCGGGAGGTTGCGACGCGAGCATCTCCACGACGGCGCTGGAGCAGGCAAGTAAAACAAAGCCCGAAAGAGACAGAAGAATCACGAGCTTAGCCTCTCGGGACTCCAGTCGCCACATGGCTCCCTGCCTTTCAACAAGGAAGCAAAGCAGAAACTTGATCTGAAAGGGCACCTCGGAATAGTTCAGAAGCCTCTCGTTTTCGTCGCTTTCTCCCTTGCTCACTGCCCACGAATTCTTCCTCAAGAGGGCCGGGATGGTTTCGAAGGCGATACCCTGCATGCATCCCTCCCAGATGTAGAGGGAGAGCAGAACCGCTGCATCCATGGCTTCTCCTCCTAAAGTCGTCGTACCATGTGCAGGAAAACCACATCCTTTGAGAGCATGTGGCGCACTGGCAATGCGAGAAGCGAGCAGATTGGTGGCAGACTCAAGGGGGGCATGCTGCAACTAGCTTTCTTCAGGGAGCTGGGTTTACCCGAAAACCGATACTTGCCTGCCATGGCCTAAGCCATTAACCCTTCACCAACCAAACACCCTTTTTTGCATCCGGGCTTGGGAAGTCGGCCGGGGAAATTAACAGAAAGCAACAGCATGGCGCCAAGCCGCAGCCCAACGACCCTGAACCCTGAACCAACAAGCCTAAACCTCAAGCCACCGTGGCGTGGCGGAAGATTACAACATCGTAGAGTTGAAGCCTTAAGCGCCAGACCGAAGTGCCAGCCGAGGGCGAAACCTGGGGCACTTGCTTCGGTAGCCTGGGTCTGAAGGCCTGGACTTCACTTTCTGAGGATGGCTCACGCCTTTCTGCTACTCTCGGGGTCTTTGGACCTTGCTGCTTCGGGGAGACGCAGCTGCTCTTTGAGAAATGTAAGTTGAAGAAGTGGCTGGCTGGTGCCAAGCTGCCCAAACGGCCGCCGGTGAGCAGCACATTGAGCCCGCCAGCCATGCCCCCCATGAAGATATTGATCCTGTGATACTGCAGAGCAGGGAAGGCCAGAACGATGTCGTTAATAGTGGAGCCCCATGCTGGTTCAAGAAACCTAGTCTGTGTCCCCTGATGCTCTGACTGCATTTTTATCGAGGCGTTTTAAGAAAGCGATATTGAACCATCCCTGGCGTCCGATTGACTTTCATATGATTCGTAAGCATAGCTGTCGTCTCCCCTCATTCCCTAGACCTCAAGTTTTCAAAAACCCTACGCCTTTTTGCATGCAGGCGGCATGCTCAAAGGGCGTGTGCCTCCGGGCGACGGAAGGTGCATCAGCACGAAGAACACCTTGGAAGCCCGACTGGTTTTCACATCAGGTTCAAGCTTCGGGGTAACACTCTGGCCGGGCAAGGCTGATCAAGCATTACATAAGTCTCCAATAGTTTGTAAGCCTACACTGCCGCACGAAGCAAGCGAAGCGAGATCTTTTAAAGGAACTCCGATGCGTGTCCGGAATGCAGGTGGATTGGGGGGCTCAGGACAAGTCCGGGCTAAGGCGGTCAGCACCTTCGAGAGGGGACTGCAACTTTTGTTACACGTTTGTATGTGTCTACCTATCTATCTCTCCATATCTTTATCTCTCTACCTGTCTATCTCTCTATCTCTCTATCTATCTACCTATCTACCTATCCGCCTATCTGGCTATCTATCTGTCTGTCTATGCACCTATCTATTTATTCATCTTTCGAATTATCGATCTATCCATCTACCTATCTATCTATCTATCTATCTATCTCTGTTCTCTCTATCTATCTATCTATCTATCTATCTATCTATGCTTATCTATCCGTATATCTATCTATCTACCTAGATAACTCAGGCTCGGGTTCAAGCTGTGCCACAGGATGAACTTTTCCCACAAACGCATAGTCAAAAAGCTAACTCAGACCAACAGATGGGGCACGGATTCCAACACCATGGCGAACAGAAATGCCGCCGTGGCCGGCAACTGCCAGTGTGCCATGCCTGAAGGGGTTGAGGCTTTAGGCTGGGGACCCCTTCTTGCCTGCCCGTTGCATGACATCTTGTGCTCTAATAGTCTAAACCCTGAAGAACCTCTAAACCCGAAACCGTAAGCCTTCCTTGGGGTTTCGGGTTGAAGGCGGAAGGTTCGACTCGCACTGGCGGCAGGCAAGACTCATCCTAGTTCGGTCTCCACGGCAATGACTGGGGATACTCTCAGACCAAACCAACTCACTCAGACCCTAACCCATAAAGTTCACCCCCCAGTCACCACGATCACTCGACATAGCTTGAGACATTGCTCAATCTGCTTCAAGACATGACTCGGCCAACTATTACACTTCAACACCCGCAAATAACGACTACAGCCCATGAAAATGAGGGTTCGGGTTTGGGATTTAAGTTTTTTTTAGGGTGTACGGGGCTCGAGGGTAGGAGTGCTCTGATTGGGTGGAGCTACTAAGGAAATATCTTCGTGAGGGTTGTGTAGTCCCCTGGTCATCCTGTAGCTAGGTGCCAGGAGCCAAGATTCTCTTGCCCCTCTCTCCCGTAGGGCCGCATTTGTGTTTTCACAGCTGCTAACCAGCTTCACATGAGGTGCTAAGACAAAAAGCAATCCTGAACCCAGGCTGTATGCCCCACCGAAACCTCCCTGAACAACTCGGAAAGTTCCCTAGAACCAGAGCAGATGCGAGCCTAAACCTGGGCTGGACATCTCTCAAGCCCAGGATAAGACCCTGAAGTAAATGGTGCACCAGAAACGCCGGCAAGCAACTCGCTTCGGCAATATTATACCTTCGCGGCTTGGTGACGAGATGTGCAGTGCTTTTCTATGCTAGGGCTTAGGGTTGAAGGGCTAGTTCAGAGTTTGAGGCTCGCCCCCAGGATCCTGCATCCTACAACTCTGAACCTCAAACCGTTGAACCCCCTGCTGGCCTCAATCCTTAAGCCTCCGTATAAGAAAGACCTTGAACTCTGAACCCTGTACGAATGCGTGACTACATCCTCAACTCCTACGAGAGTCGACATCCTTAATCCTGAACTAAGCCCTGGAAGATGTTTTAGACCACATCATTAACCCTTCAGCGGATGTTTGCAGCAGTCTTCGCGCGAGTATTAAGTCTCTACTTATTTGCTCTTAGTTGATAGCCCCAATGTACCAAGAGTTGTACAAATCTGTGCTTGCACTGCTGGCAGCAGTAGTAGTACAATGTCATGATGAGACGTCGTCGTAGGTGGGCTAGACTATGGCACAGCTCACAAAGCAGCTTTTGAAACGGCGTCTCGCGCATCCGAGGCTTCAAGCTGGCTCCTCAAGATCTGCCCCAACGACTCCACTCACTTGAGCGGCACAAACTGCGAGTTCTTGCCCATCCTTGGGTTCAGGGCTTAGGGGTTCCAGGGAAGAGACTCACATGTTTGAGTTTCGCCAACATTCACGGCACATCTGAACCGAAAGCTCTCTAAAGCTAGGGCGTATTGCAGAGCCAGGAGTCATACCTGCACGGCCGTGCTTGATGGGCTTGTAGGTGATCGAGAACTCGCCCAGGTAGTGGCCAATCATCTCGGGCTTGATCTCCACATTGATGTACTGCTTGCCATTGTAGACACCAACCACGCTGCCAATCATCTCCGGAACGATGACCATGTTGCCTTCGCTGCACGGTCCCTGCTTACAATTCCCCATAGGAAAACCTCAAGCGAAAACTCAAGCGCCAGGCTCTCTGTACCCGGCTTGTTCTGGGGAGAGGGGACGTAAAGTCTGGGCGCAGGGGTTGCGGTTGAGGCTTCGGCCTGTGAAGTAAGTCTTTAGGATGTCACTCCTCAGAGTTCAGCAAACCACATCCTCCGACCCTCAACGAGCCCAGCTACGGAGGTGCGTCTTCACGGCCTCGGGCTTCTCGCCATAGGCGGTCTCACGCTTGGCCTTACTTTGGCGATCACGAACCTCTCTCTTGCATGGTACACTTGTTCACTTGGGCATCGAGCTTTTCGTTGGGTTTGGGGCTATGGACTAAGTACGATTTAAGGTTCGGGCTCTGATTTGTTGATTTGGTGATATTTGAGGATCCATGTACGGGTGGTAAAGTGTCGGAGAGGCACCCTAAGCCCGCAGCAGCTTCCCCGTTGAAGGGAGGTCGATGCTGCACTCCAAAGCACGAGTCTCTGCTCGTGGGTCCACCCCTCTCTCTCCACAGAACCGCACGCCTCAAACCCGAAAGCCTCAACTTCCATCCCCTCAGTTCCCTAAACATTTTGACCGCTTCTCTTCTTGTCCCCTCCCCTCCTCTTCCCGATTCCAGGAGCCTTTCGGAGCTTCTTGAGCACGGTGATGGGCTTGCGCTTGATGCCGCGGCTGAACTTGCGGCGCTGCCGGGCGCAAAACAGCTCCATGAGGTCCTCCCAGAGCCAGGCTTTTCAGAGTAGGGTTTAGGGTCTAATGTGAATGTGTAGACCCAGGTTTAGAGCTTTGGGCTGAGGGTGCCAAGGTGGCTTCTTTACCGGGCGCTGCGTACTACAAACTGCAACAAAGCAGGTACCACAGATGTCAGAAAAGCCATACGATATGAACCCGCCTCATCACAGTGAGGAAACTATAGCAACGAAAGCTCGAGCACTCGTCATCATACTAAAAACCAAAGAAGAAAGCCTCCGTGCCATGCTTGGAACACGAAAGAGACCACACCCCAACTTCTTTCCTCCTGACGCGCTCACGGTCCTGGTTGCTCATATCCAGAAGCTTGTCCAGGTCAATGCCGCGGTAGGAGTACCTGCGAAGCTCCACTGCGCTAAGCCCTATATTATTGTAATATACTGTCTAGTTTATTATAAAATACTATAACAATATACTATAGTTTATCCAATCACAAGAAGCTTTGCCGACAGCCTATTGGAGACCCACCAGCAAACCAACAAACCCAACTTCAACGTCTAAGTCCAAACTTCCAACCTTTGAAACCCCGACACTTCGGTGCCACACCCTCAGCCCGGAAACTCCGAAGCCCATACTCTCTCAACTCCAAACCTTACAGCCCCTGTCCTCTCCAAAGCCGACAGGCCGCCGGACGACTCCATCCAACAGAGAATCTCCTAAATTCTGGACCCTCGCAGCGTCCTCGAGGCCCTGCTACAGAACAACTCCATCTAAATGTTGTTGCTCGCTCGCGCTTGCTTGCTTGCTTGGGGTTTGCGGACCGAAAGCCCCTGGCCCGTACGCCTGCCCCCTAGGTTCGCATCAGTCTGTCGGAGAGGCCTGTTCAGGGGTCGGAAACGATCCTGTTCCCCTGCGTGACCACCCAATGTTGCTCGCTCTCTCTCTCTCTCTCTCTCCCGGGCATGCGGAGCGTTCGAAGCTCCTCGGGCCGATGGCCCGCCCGTGTTTGACGGGCCATGCGGAGGACGCGTGAGACGAGTTCCAATTTTTTTGAGGACGCCGCTTAAAGCCTACAATGTTGTTGTTCTCGGACCATGAAGCCGCAACCCTCCACCCGCAGCCCTCAACCCTGAACCCCTACAGCCCCAAGCCCGCGACCACCCAACCCTGATCGCTAAACCCTAAACCCTCTTCTTTAGGGGAGCACTTCTTGAAGGTGCGCTTCTTGGGTGCGTCTCCCTCTTCGGCCATGGCTGTCCTGAGTCGCAGGGCTCAGCGGTCCGAGGTGTAGGGTGCGTTTGCGGTTTAGGGCATTCGGGTACTCGTACTCGGGAATTAGGGGACAGTTCGGGGTTTAGGGCAATAGAACCACCAGGGCAAAGGGTTCAGGGCACAGGCTTTGTAGCACTGCGTTTAGCACATAGGGACAAGGTGGTCTGAGGTTAAGAGCTGCTTGGGTTTGGGCTCAGCAGCTAGGGAGCTAGAGAGCGCTTAGGTCTAGGCGGTTGGGATTTGCGGATCTCGTCTTTGACGTTCAAAAAAATGTTCAGCCCTCAGATCCGAGACCCCACAAAAACCGTACACCCACGATCCTAAGATCGCTGTGGCCTCTGTGTCCACCAAGCCTATGAGCCCTGAACCTCAAAACCAAACAATCCAAAACCCCTCAAACCCTAAACTTCTAAACCCCACGACTTCAACCCCAAAGCCTGCGTGCAACACGCCGAGGCTCGGTTCCATTGTGGTGTTGTGGATTTTCGGCTCGTGGTTTAGTCTTCTTTCGGGCGTCGGATCTGTTCAAGCCCGAGGCCCGGAAGTTAGACTACACAATCTTGTGCCATGCAAAGCCATGGAGAGTTTAAGGATTATTAGCAGCTTCGCAAAACGGGGCCGTCTCAGAACCGATGGACGGCCTCACTTCTAGGTCGATACTTCTCCTTCTGGAAGCTAGCTTCGCTGTATGCCAGCCCCGGCCCATATCCAAATTGCAACTCGTTCAGTGTCTGAGACCTCTCACCGCCGACAACCGGCAATGACCGCAACTACCGGATCCCAAAGCCCCAGAGCAATTTTGGCTTTTTGAGCCCAAGCTGCCTGTCTTCTTGCCGGCACACACCCAAAGACCTGTTCCTTTCCGCTTGGGCCAGAAATCAGCAGATGTAGAACTCACAAACCTCGAAGCCAAAGTCTAAACAGATAGGAAGCTGTGTGTATATATCTATATATACATATGTACATGTACAAATATGTAGACATAGGAAAGTATGTGTATGTTTGCATGTATGTACGTATGTTTGCAGGCATACATGCATGCATGCATGCATGCATGCTTGCTTGCTTGCTTGCTTTCTTGCTTGCTTGCTTGTATGTAACCTTGTAGGATGCGTTTCGATGAATTAATTAGTTAGTTAGTCAGTTAGTGAGTGAGTGAGTGAGTGAGTGAGTGAGTGATTCAGTCAGTCAGTTAGTCAGTCAGTCCCCGTTCAGTCCAAGTTAGTTAGGTAGGTAGTTAGGTAGTTTAGTTTAGTTTAGTTTTGCTCTGTGTTGTTTGTGAGTTAGTTCGTTAGTTGATTTGTTTGCTTGCTTTGTTGTTTGCTTGCTCCCTACATATATATATATATGTATATATATATATATACATATATACATATAGAGAGAGAGAGAGAGAGAGAGAGAGAGAGAGAGAGCAAACACAACATATAGTACAAGGTAAGATGGACAGATCGAGTGTTAGATAGACAGCAGAGACAGACAGACAGACAGACAGACAGACAGACAGACAGACAGACAGAGAGGGAGAGAGACAGGCAGATTGATAGATGGATGGATCTGTAGATATGCAGACAGAGCAAAATAGATAAAGACAGACAGGCAAATGGACAGATAAACAAGTAGATAGAAAGATAGATACTCTAAATAAACAGCCGGGTAGATATCCCTGTCCAACATTATGGAGCCTTATATATGACTCCGAAGACCCTAAAGTCAAAAGCACCAACCCCAAGATCTATCATCCTGAGAACGGGCGAGTCTAAGACTCTTTTCGCTTCGTTTGGGGCAGCGCTCGACATGGCATCCCCTAGGTCTAGGGATTAGGGTTTAGGGTTTCGTGGAGCAGTACCTCCAAAAACACCAGGCTTGAAGCCCTCCAAACCCCTTCAGAGTTCCGGGTCCAAGATCATGCACTAAGAGCGGTACAGCAAGTTACAGCCTACAGGCTTAGGGTTTGCATATACATATACAGTATAGATAGCAATGTGACTTTACACTTTGCACTACCGTATTTTCTAACACAGGAAGATTCGACTAGGGAATAAGATACTGGATGCATAAAACTGATTTGTCGAAGAGGCAGAAGCCATCCGCGAACAGGAAGCTCCTCATTCACCGCAACATTCCTGAGGATGCATTTCTGACCCATACTGTATTGGCCAACCCACTCTCTGTTAAGTGTGGGGAGGGTGTGTGAACCCAAATCCAGAGAAAGCCGTTGCCGAGAAGAGCTTCGTTGAGCAACATGGTGTGCTGCACACCATGATCGGCCTACTTCAACAAATCGGGCTTGCGCATGTGATGCGCACAATGCCCACGCCCGACTGGGTGCGGGCGGCGGGAGCATGAATGCTCATGCCGCACAAGCTGGACTGATAGCTCTTCTTTTCACGATTCGAAGACCGAAGTTCTCCGGCCGTAAACCCCTAAGGCCCCTTTGCACACGGAGCCGATCTCCTTGTTTGCTCCGGGGGCCCACCCGAACCGTCAACCCTGGGGTTTTGGGCTTGGGGGCATAAAGCGGTATGTTCTGTCTCCTGCCTGGCTCGGACGAACCTACAATGCAGGGCGCGTGAGTTGACTGCAAACTGTTGGAAGCGCAAGTTGACGTCACTCTGCACACAACCAATGTACTGTACCGGACTTCGCTTGCGAACGAAGTTGTGAGCCTTCACGGCTCTTGTTGCTACGGCAGCCCGCTTTGTGGATTGCAGCTCGCTAGTCTCAGGCGCTCACCAAGCTCTACGAGAAACTCGACAGTCTTTAGGCTGGCGTGACACCGAAGAACAGGCATTCGCTAGTCGCATGCAGAAAGGTGCAGCTCCAGCAATTTCCGTAATTCAGGTCGGCGTTTGGGGCTTCGAGGGTTTTGGGATGTGTCTTTTTGCCTTTCGGTTTCGGGGTTTGGGAGGGTGGGTTTTGCGTTTGAGGGTTTCTGCTTTCCAGCCAAGACACAAATGGAAGAGGACGTCCCAGAAAATGCAGACGGCAAAATTTTCAGACTTGTCGAAGACTTCCTGAGGCTCCCGGCACTCGTCTATCACTACTTTACCCGCTGACGATTGCGACGGTGTCACCCATAACACAGAGTTTCGCTTCGACAGAATGCTCTGCGGCCAAGTTGTCGAACCACTGCAGGAAGATTACCCATCCCGCCACAAGCTCGACGGCAAACATAAACCTAAGCTCAGGTTGTGCTCAGGCCAGCTCAGCACCGGCAGGAAGTGCGCGAAATCCCATCCAAACGCCCTGATAGCAAACGAAAGCGTAACAGCGCTGCGAAACTGGCTCTTCTTGAAAATTCCATGCGATCCCTTACGGAACAGGGTTTGGGGCATGGTTATTTTGACGATGACCGCAACGACAAAGACTCCGAGGCTAGAACGAAAGACGTCGGAAGTGAAGGCAAGGCACGAGACGATGGTGACACCGACGACTAGGCCGGCAGCCGCATCTTGGAAAAACGGGCTATCCAGCGTAAAGCCCAGTGATGACAGATCTCTTCTGTCCATGCACCTGCACATAAACCAAACGCCCAAAAGAGCGCCAACACCTCAGATTCTGACTTGCTCTTGGGCCACATGCTTTGCAGATGCTATTTCAAAAGCAAGCCAAAAGACACAGATCACTGGCCTCAAGTCACGCTCAGGATGCCCAATCCTTCTGCCGACCAGTGATATTCTTGTTCGCCTTGCTCCTCCACAGGCCTTGCCCTAACCTTTGACCCCAAACCAAAGACTGAAGCATCTTGAAGTGTCTCCCTCCCACCTTCAGCCCTGAGTCTGGCCTGATATGGGCAACAATGCTACCAGCGTCAGGTACGAAGACACCGAACAACAACAAGCCTGAGAAGAATCACCGCAGTTTCAATAAGACTGGATCCAATCATCGAAAGCGCCCGCCCCAAGAACAGCAGGAAAGGCTGACAGTGTCGAGAACGCGCGATCCAAAGCCATAACTTCCTGCTTGCAAGCAGCCCATCCCCAACCGCATGCACGCATCCTTGCCTCGGGACCGCGCTCAAGGCTTGCAAGGATCGGAGCTCGAAACCAAAAGGGAACTTGCAGCTGTTCACCCCGATGGCTTGAGGCAAAATTCGTGCTAATCAATCGAATCAAGCAACAAACAGTACGAGCACTTCGAAGCCGGAAGTCTTGAAAAACCGAAGTTGAGACTGGTTTATGCTTCCGACATGGCCCGTAGGGCTGCATCACAGAGTTCGAAAGCCGGTCAGGGTTTGGGGATTGAAAGTGCTCGTGCCACGCGCTTGTGCTGCCCCCAACAGCTCAAAGGTTCTTGCTCTACTACCTTTGCACAGCTTGAGGGCCACACTTCCGTGAAGCTTACGCCCCACGGCCCCAAGCCAACCCGAGTCCCCGCTAAACTTCGCTAAACTCTGAACTCTGAACGCAAAGCGCCCGCGTCCATGCAGCTTTCCCTAACCCCATTCAACACCCAGGCGTTTGAGGCTTTTGGGCTTCAGGATTTTGTTTTAGGCTTTAGGGTGTAGGGCTGTGGGGCTAAGGGCTTTAGGGTTTGGTGTAGGACTTAGGATCCTTAGCCTTCAAGGGGGCCCGGTTGGTCCCGAGCTGCATCGCTGCCGGCCGGTCACATGGTTGAGGAAGAAGGGCTGTCCTGAAGGTGTTTTGCTTAGGGTTTAGGGTTTAGGGCTTTTTTTCGGGCCAAAGTGCTCAAGTTTAGGCTCTTGGCTTCTGAGAGCGCTCGAGCACAGGCCCTGAGGGAGATGCTCGGCAGAGGGAGTTTTGGGGCTCAGGACTCCGTCGATTTACGAGAATCCCAAAGACGAAAGAGCCCGACATTCCACGAGATTTGCGTCGCGAAGGTGAGCACATGAGGACTTGACTTGGCTGGTTTCGGGGCAGACAGTGTCTCGGGAATATGAGGAACACAGACGTCCCCGCGCAACCACTCTTTCTGTCCTTCTATCAGTTTGACAGTTTGTCCTTTGGACTTTTAGACAACTAGACAGATGTTCTCGCATTGACGTGTCGAACACACGCAAATTTTTCCAGCTTGCACTATGACATGCCAGACTAGAGCCCTTACACCCCAAGAAACAGCTGATACCCCTGAACCGCCCCCACTTCTTTTCGGGGACCCCCACCCCATCGGCCTGGCCGGCCACGGTATCCCTGCAGGGCCTCCGGGATCTCGCAGGCGGGCCAGGGAATCTTCCTTGGAGGGCCGATTTGGAACTGCAAGTGTTACGGTTTAGGGTTTTTTTTTGTTTTTTTATCGCCCCTTTTTCGTCAGCCCAAGGGAGTCAGAAAGGCCAAGTTGGCTGAGGCATGATGAGGGGAGCTAGCTCTATCTCTGGACTACACTAGAATGCGATATATCGTCGAGATAGCTCCCAACAGCCAAACAACCGGTTTAGGGTTTAGGGTTTAGGGTTGCTTGTTTTGTGTTTGCTTGTTTTGCTTGGCAGCTGAAGCTTAGGGGCTTGGTACAGGAGGTGGGATCTGCATGCCGTGGGTTCACGCCTCGCCTGCGCACGCTTGTTCCAAACTTGCTCACGAACCAACAAACCACCAACCTCAAATGGCTGGCCAACGTGTGAGGACGTAAAACTTCGGCTTAGGCTTCGGAGTTCGCAGTCCCACTCTTGTGCAGTCAGCGGACGTGTCGTGCTGGATCGCTTCATCTTTGGTGGCATGCCAAGGCAAAATGCCTGCATCACCAGGATTTCACACAGATTGTTGGCACGAGAGCCAAGAGCTAGTTTCAAGGGCTGCCTGCAACTGCTGCTGGAGCTGCGATTTAGCATGCAAGGGTCGCTCTCGAGCATCCGGCTCGCGTGCAGACTCTACGCACGCTTTGTCATCTGCTGCGTGGGCATGATTCGCTCCAACGGCCCTCCATCACCAAATCCAGGATCCAGAAAAGGAGGAAGCGATACCTCAAAACCTGATCTGACTGGTAAGGGATCCGATGAACCCTCCCTGCCTAACCCACCGAAAAAATGCACCAAAAACACTACGATCCTAGACAATGACCTGCACCACCCAACAACACACGATGACACCCTATACACAGAAGTCGTGGTGATGCCTGAATCGCCACGGATCCAGCGGGCCAGCTGGAGGCCTCATTCAGCTGGACATCACCCGGCCCACGGTTTTGGGCATGGCTAGGGTCCATTAGGGGCTTTTCGTTGCACTTGGGGATGGGGGACTTGGAGCTCGCCTTGGAGCGGACGGGACTGGGATAAAGAACTCGGAGCAGCCAGGCCAAACCCGTAAGCTCCTTAATCCTGAAAGTCTCAGGATCAGACGGGGAGTTTCTTAAAGTTTGAAACTGCGGTGCTTGAATGAAGCACGGCCGCATTACGGGGAATACGGTTTCTACCTTGACTTTGAGGTTAGGGCTGCTATTCAAGCGTGGCACCACTGTGGCAGCCTCCGCGTTGGGCATCTAGGGTGCAGGGTTGAGTCTACTGGGCTCCCGCATCGTCTCACGGATTGACCCGGTCAACTCTGCAAGGTATAGATGCACATAGGGTCCTTATCCCATATTCCCACATTCATGGAGTGGGGGTACCGCAAGACGCGGCAGCCTCAAGCTCAAAACGCCGGAAGGTTCTATGGATCTTTCTTGGAACCAGGAGCTGTGACACCTGGGACACATGCCTGGAAGTGCGACTTACAACTCGTCAGAACATATTATGACGAGGTCAAGACCTTGGGCACCGGACCCAGTCCAAGGCAAAGCTCATTGAAGAGTGCCTGTGTGGTCAAGTGAGGTGTCAAAGCTGCGTGTTCCTAAACTGAGCATTCAAGCAAGGGCTGAGGTTCGAGATGAGGACTGAGCGATCGGGCAGAGGGCTTTGAGCATCCGGGTAATGGAGACGAGCGTACAAACATCAAAGGCAGCAACCCACGTAAGCAGGATGGCGAAAACGATCAATTGGCGACCTCCGCAGAGAGGAAGACACAGAATCCAAAATGAAGAACACGCGGCAGTCCACACCATGCAGACGGGATAGGGGCAAACGCGGTAACACAATGAAAATTGCCAAAATGACAACTGCCAGCAACCAACACAAAGGGACACGTGTAAACATGCGATCAGCGACGCAAACAGTATCAGGGCAAACGTGCGAAAGCGAAGAACTGCCGCCGACTCGCTTGAACAGTTTCAAAACTGCCAACATGAACAGCTGACAGTAACCCGGAAGCGGAGTAGGGGCGAACGTGGGCAAACGAAGAACTGGCAGCAACCCACGCAGGCTGGACAGAGCAAACATGTGCCAATGAGGAACAGACAGCAACCCGGACGCTTGAACTGAATAGGTATCAACAGGCGAAAAAAACGAAGCAACGCATGCAAGCAAGATAAGGGCCAACGCGCGAAAATGAAGAACTGGCGACAATCCGCGTCAACAGGACAGGGGCAAATACGCGAGGTGGAGGTGCCCTAAATCAAGAAGCTCTTCGTCCCCAACTCTGGCATACCCAACCCTGCGCCCCAACCTGCCTGGGTGACAAAGAAGAACGGTAGACGGACGAAAATACCTTAGCAGACGCAAGAGCCAACTCTACAAGAAGACATGGCCTTCACCAAGGCCGCCAATGCCGTGGTCATCTTGCCAGCATCACTGCCATCACCGTCAACACCGTCATCCTACCAGGAACTATCACAGGCACAGTAGGGCAACAATCGTCAGTCTGATATGTCGCATTATAGGAGCGGCAAAGACTGGCTTACCTTGCGCTGGGGCTCCTCATTTAGACTTCGGTGTCGAGTGGACATGGAGCTTGGGGTTTCCAGGGGTCCGATATCTAATTCTTTGCGCACGTCTTCGCCTGAATTCTGGCGACTTGAAACCTAGAGCAACCAACAACGGCGTCCAAGCGGTAGGGTTCAAAAGGCGCAGGGTTCGAAAGCGCCGTCCCAAGCAACGTCCCTGAAATTCAAATACGACTCCATAAAACAAGGAACCATGGTATTGAACAACCCCCGCAGCTTGGCCAAGACACTCGTCTTGCCTTCTACCTGTCAGGTTCGCAGATCTAGCCACCCAGCTTTTCCTTGCAATCTAACAAGCCCCGCACCGTTGTAGCGGCGGTAACCGTGGCGGCTAGTAGGCTGCAAAGCTTTATGACGGCTTCGACGGCGGAAGCACGGCATGGGATTGAGTGACCCGTGCTTACGGGGCCTGGGGCCTGGGGCCTGTGCCTAGAGGGACCCCAGAACTACCGTAGCTTTTTGCATCTTGTCTCTCACACTCGGCCGTCCCACATGCAAGCTGCAACATAGGGCTTAAACGTTCATCTTACAGCACATCAAGAGAAACCGGAGAACCTTAGCCTAAACCCTTTCCCGAGCACACCCTAAACCCACCCCTAAAACCCGAAACATAGCAACCCCTCTGACAAAAAAACTCCTCATAACTCTAACTCTCTAGAATCTAAACCGCAAACGCCTAAAGCCCACAAGCCGTGCCTCTGAGTAGAAGCTGGGACTGCTGCCAACCGCCAGCCCACAGAGGCTCACGCACGTGCAGACCAGCAGCAGCCCCAAGGGCATCAGGGCAGGGCCTGAGGATTGGGTGAGGGTTTAGGGTTCAGGGTTTACGCTCTCACAACTCGGAGATGCCAGGCGAGGTTCATGGTTCGAAGTCGGCGTGAAACGAGAAGCAAGAACCCCATGAATGAAAAGACCAACTCCAACACCAAAATCAGGGTTTAGGGTTCAGGGTTTAGGGTTCAGGGTTGAGGGTTGAGGGTTTAGGGATGTTTAGGGGGGCTTGGAGTTTGGGGGGCCGTGGCATGTTTCTGTCTGAGGTTTCGGAATTAGGGGCACGGGGTTTACGATGGGAGGCCCGCAGAGACGTTGCCGTTTCTTGGTTGGGGGTTGGGGTGAAGGATGTCGCTGGCGTGGGGGAAGCATTTCAGCTCAAGGGCAAAGGCACATTGCGCATCGCACGCCTGCCACAAAAGCCTGCAAGTCACCTTCAATTTTTACAGTTCTGGGCTGAAGCACTAGGCCCTCGAGGCTTGCAGGTAGAATGTGGATACGAGTGCGGCTTAAGTGTTTTGTGGGAGTTGCGCGGCTGTCCTTAGGTTGTCGGCCAATGCGGGGTCCAATTGTCCTGCGTCCATCCGGGATTCCAAGAAAGGACAGATAACGGTCTAGGGTTGTGTTTCTAGAGCGCGGGATCTATTATTCGGGTAATCGTCTCCAGCTGCGTTGGTGGACTGGCTGTTGCGAGTAAAACTCAAGGCTCATTTCTTGGGAGCCATGTTCTCACCAGATCAAGGCTTTGTTGCGTGACGACCTCGAAATCTGAATCCTGATGACCTCAGGAAAAAGAGATGCGCGGTGGCGAAATGACTCAGCTAAGTGCCCGTCTGATCTGTGGCTCGGCCTTGCTGGAGGCCTGTCACGAACAAGTCCAACTACCTAAACACAACACCGGTGAAACCCAGTTGCCATAAACCAATGCAACAAGAGTACTTTCACGACAAACGCCCGTACAAGTCGAAGGAGAACAACACAGACAGATTCTGCCACCCAGTCCAAGGGCGAAAACAAAGCCTCATCCCAAACTTACATGTTTGGAATTTTGTGTGACTTGTTGGCTCCCGCGTCACCGTGTGTTATTCCAGGCTTGGGGGCAGGGCTTGGATTCCAAGGATAGCCGTACAAGTACAAGCTCCGCTTCAAATCTGGTGGCCTTCTTCTCCTTCTCCTCCTTCTTGCCATCGCGCTTCGCCCGCTTCATGGCTCTCAGGGGTGTCCCTTCTTTCACAACGGATTCGACTGCTGCCCTTACTGCCTAGCCCGACCCACAACACAGTAGAAATGACCGCATCGCGAGACCGGCCACGCTTCGCGGCTCCAAGCTTCAGGCGCAACTTGGTACGACACCACCTTCCGAAACTTCGCGAATAACTCAAGAGTTACATCATACAAGGTATGTTCGAAAAGATCACAAGGTGAACTTCTCTCAATGTCCCTAAACCTTACGTCTGTGAATCAGCATCTTCCGACAAACTTGCCGGCTGGCTCTGCTGCACAACAGTGGCATGCCTGCTCGCTGGCCCGCGGCTTTCCAGCTCGCGCTTCGCAAAGAAAGCTGCATCTCAATGAGACATGCTCGGCCGGCGATTTCTGGAGTGAGATCACTCGGCCACCAGGGCACGCCCCGAAAAACCAAGCGCGTACATCAGCAAGCGGAGCTCGGGGCAGCCGGAAGACATGCTGGGGTCGCTGCGCAAGCATCTTTGCGAACCTGAGCGCATCTGAGTCTCCGCACGCCACCACCAGCTTTCTGCACGTAGGGCTCCAGGATACAGCATCTGTTTACAAGAATGACACAGGAGCTAAGTACCCGGGCCCCCATACGATGCGCGACAGGGGTCGCGTGCCGCATTCGGCAAGCCTGACCCAGGCAGTTCAGCGCTTCAAGTTTTCAATCCAACAGCTAGTTCAGGGCGCCGTTGTGCCGCGGGCTTCGCGGCTCCAGCATTTACGGCTTTTTACGGCTAGGCTGTGGGCCCTTCAGGCTCGGACAACGGCTGAATGCATGGTGGCCTGGAAGGGCGTAATTTTCTCGATTCTCGATGATACCATGACAATGATGTCTCTGGCTTGAAGTCTGGAGTCGAACGCTTTGTTGGGATCCGATGTCAGGATGAGCAGCGCTCATGCTGGCTTCCTCCTAAATGCTCTGAACAGCAGAGCCTGGGTCTCGTTTCGAAACTTCGCTCACTGTAGTTTGACGGGTGTAGGGTTACAGCGTTGTCTATGTCGTTGTTCACAGCGGGTTAAGAACTAGAAAAATAGATCACAGGGCTGAGCACAGGCCTGGCAGGCACCGAGCCCAGACGAATCCGAAACCCTTCCCTTGGCCAAGGAAGCGGCTGATTCTGCACGGTCTCACCCAGCGCTTGCAACCTCAGTCGTCGACAATCCTAACTGGCCTTAGGGCCACCAAGCAGTGGTGTTAAATGCACTTTCGGGCTTGGGTTGGAGCCCAACTTGAAGCCACTGGGATTCTCGGGTTGCATCCGAGCCTATCCGAGCCTTAATCACACATGATCTCTCGGCTTTGAAATGGGGGATAGGGGTGTTGCAAGTGAGCTTGATGCCTGAGCGAAGATGGACACACTTCTCTGACGGGCTTCAGGATATAGTCCTGGAGTTTCAATGCTAAGGGGCCAAGATGCGTAGAAAGTGCGAGGACTGACGCAAGGGTTATCAACGATGTATTGAATCAAGCAACGCTCGGCCTTACACACTAAATTAAGCCGCCCAGACCCCAGACCCTAAACCCTCTTCGTAAACCCTACACTCCCAAACCTGAAACCCAGACCGTAGACACAGCCTCGACTCTACACCCAGAACCCCCCCCCAAGTTCCTGAGGATGCCCTGTTCTTTGAGCTTGCCCATCATCGGGTTGAGGCCGGACTCAAGCTAGGAAGGCGCAGTTGCCACATCAGCCGTGCCGCTGTGTAAATTTTGTACAGACACATCTCTGTACTATATCTATATCTATATCTTTATCTATATCTATATGCCTACGTATCTGTATCTATATACTAATATGTATATATGTTTTGGTGCGTTCGTGCGTACGTGTGTAAGCACATATAGACACACATGCGGTTACCTGCGCTCTCAAACTCGTCTAGTGGCCTACATTGCTCTCTCTGTCTATTTGCGCGTGTATGCAATGTACATGTCTGCATATGTATGTCATGTATGTCTGTATGTCTGTCTGTCGGTCTGTCTGTCTGTCTGTCTGTATGTATGTAAACATAAAAATGTAAACATAAAACATAGGTAGATAGATAGGTAGATAGATAGATAAATACATAGATACAAAGATAGATAAATAAATAAACAAGTAAAGCAATAGATAGATAGATAAATAGATTAAACAGATAGATTGGATAGATACACAGATACGTAGATAGATAAATAAATAAATGAATAAATACATAGGTGGATAGATAGATTGATAGATAAATAAATAAAGAGAAAGATAGAGAGATGGAGAAAGAGATAGAGAGGTAGACAAATAGATAAATAGTAGGGTTTGATCAACAGATAAACAAATAGGTAGGTAGGCAGGTAGGTAGGTAGGTAGGTAGGCAGGCAGGAAGGCAGGTAGGTAGGTAGGTAGGTAGGTAGGTAAATAGGTAGGTAGGTAGGTAGGTAGGTAGGTAGGTAGGAAGCAGGGTAGGTAGGTAGGTAGGTAGGTAGGTAGGCAGGTAGGTAGGTAGGTAGGTAGGTAGGGAGGTAGGTAGGTAGGTAGGTAGGGATAGATAGATACATAGATAGATAAATAAATAGATAGACAGATAGACAAACAGCTAAATACATAGATAAATAAATAGAGAGATAGAGAGATAGGGAGATCGGGAGATAGAGACAGAGACAGAGATAGAGATAAGGATAGGGATTGAGACTAAGATATAGCTGGAGATGGAGATAGCGATATAGATATACATCTAGATATGGATATAAGTTCAATGTTGATGTAGATCTGGTGTGGATACAGATACTATAGCGATGTAGATATCGAGATAGATATTGATTGGTGCGGGTACGTCCGACGCCACAGATACAACCACAAGACTGATAGCAAGGCTTTACGTTGTCTCACTGGCTCAGATGCCTAGCCATAGATGTGCAACCAACGCCTCAGTCCGTCCACAGCTCTGGCAGGCTGTGGGCGGATGCCAGGGCAGCCGGACGCTTTAATGATGTCACTGAGCAGAGACCTCACGAAAGAAGAAGACTCCTTGAGTGGCATCCTATATAAGGGAGGCACATGGATGAAGATGGAAGGGATCAGTGCACCAGGGCACCGAAGACGTCGATGCTCCCGAATGGAGTAGAGGGTGCGGTAGTAGATCTCGTTGCAAAAGAAATTCCCGGCATCCCTACTCCAAAGCTCATGCGGGTTTTGCGTATTGAGCGCTACCGCCCCAAGGTCACTAGTCGTTGGCAACAGTTGCGGCCCTTCCGGGGCCACCTTCCCTTTGTGCAAAGCTCTCACATTCGCGGCCATGGTCTCGAGCTTCAGGCCTTTGGCCTCGTCCTCAAAGCCCAGGTGGACGACGGCATCCCAGCCGCCTCTCTCCACCACATCCTGTGCCTCCAAGCCACCCAGTTCGGTCACGTCCACACGCAAACTGTGCACCACAAGCTGCTCGACGATGCTGCCATTCAGGGCGGCGGCGACCTCTCCGGAGGGATTCTGAGTCAAGTTGCCCCAAGGATTATAGCCCGTCAGAAGGATGGCGGCCAGGCCGCCCTCAGGCCACAGGGCCAGGGCCAGGAGTGCCAGGAGTGCCAGGCGCATGGCACCGAAGCCGAAGCCCTTTGTCTACCCTGACTTCCAAGCGCCTTTTTCGAGCCAGGGCTGGTCCGCACACGGAAGAAACTTCGAGAATCCCCAGAGAATCCGAAGGAAAAGCGGGGACGCCGAGGCTGGCACAGCTCCCTATCGGCCAGCTGCAGCCGAGCAGAAGCCCAGGAGGCCTGGTGCTTCGAGAGAAAAGATGCAGCATTCACAGCTACGAGTGGCATCATAGCAGGAAGGGCATCATAGCAGGAACAATGCTCATAAGAGCTTCAGGGGAAGAGTTAAGTGAGGATCCGAGCGTCACACGGTTGCCAGGTTGTGCGGCTTAAGCTGCGGAAGCTGAAGACGGACCCTGGGCCCAGCTGTCTGGTCTGCTTAGCAGGACAAAGGTCGGGTGAAGAGCCTTGATTTTGCCAGCTTTTGGGCTCCAGCTTCAACCGTCTCAAGCAGTGGCGACTTTCGAAATACGATGTTGTGGGCACTGTTCGTAACTCAGTGAATGACCCATTTCCCTATACGCAGACATCTTACGAGGAGCTTTCAAGAAGTTTCAATCAATCTCCAAGCTCCCTGGAATTTCCCATCTTCTGGGATCTCAAACTCTGTGAACACACGAAGCACCGCAGACCTAAGGAAAGGCCCGGGTCACGTAACCCAAACTCCAATCACGCAGACCCTCGAATTTGTCCCCCATGCAGCCAAACAAATATCTTAGCCCTACAGGTCGAAAATCAAGGTCAAAGCCGTCTAGACGGCTTAGGGTTTAGGCTGTTGGGCTTAGGAGCTTCGGGTTTCAGGTTTCGGGTTCAGGGTTTACGCTCTCACAACGCGGACATGCCAGGCGAGGTTCATGGTGCGAAGTCGGCGTGAAACGGAACTGCGCATCCCGAAACAGCGAAGAAACCAGCTCACAGAACCCAGGACATCTAAGACCCTTTTGGCTGTTCGAAACCTACTCTTCTGGGCTGCTCGATGGTTGCCCGATACTACACCTTCATCACCTTCGCTGCACAAAGTGAGGCCCGCACAAATCGAGAATTGGCCTTGGACCCGCGGTGCGGATGCTGGCTGGCAGGACCATTTTCGAAGTATTGCCAGGATTCTTCTTGCAAGGTGTTGTTAGCGTCGACGATGTGCAGTATCAGAAAGAAACGGCGGAAGAATATACCTCAAAACCTTTCGCAATCCGGGTCCCGTAAAATGATCCGGAGGACTTCCCAGGCATTGGTGCGGCACAAGCAGTCAAGGATGAGCCCTCGATCCCCAAACCCTGTAAACCAGAAAAGCCCTGTGCCCTAAAAGCCCTACGCCATGAACGTACCCTGAGCTAGCTTTCCTCCATCTATCTCCACTGAGGCCACCTCTTTAGCTCCCGCACTGTGCCATCGAGCTTGGCGGAGCGCTGCAGCGCCGTGGCACAGTTGACCTTCGAAAGTCTCTCCCGACGGATGAACGGCCACGAAGGGGAATTTCGCAGAAAGAACCTATGCCCTAGCCTAGGCTCGACATGGCTGAATACTAAGGGATAAGGGACATATAAAACAGACGGAACAGCCAGCATGCGGTTTCGGGAAGGCTCCTGAAGTAGGGTGTCCTCGAAAAGGAGTTGCTACCAAGCTTGCATTGACACATTTGTGTGATTTTGTGTAGCAGGCTTCCACATGTTCGGAATCCCGAAATGCCGTGTTGAGATCCTCAGGGCAGGACACTATCAAACTCATGGCCCTGCAGCTCCACCAAGGCCATGAGCTCCTCAAGGCAGATGGGTGTTCTTTTTTGGTCTTGTGCTGTTTGCGGGTGTTTTGGTTGTGCTTGAAGTTTCCGGCTTTCGGTGCTCTGCAAGGGCCCCATATGCGATCCCCAAGCAGCTCGGGCATTTGGACTTTCTCGAGTTTGGCTCCTGACAGCTCCCCTTCGATGCGATCAGCTTGTTTAAGCCTCAGCGGCTTGGGCTTGGGACTGGACGCAAAAGCTTGGGGATAGGGCAAGGCTTCTTTGACAGGTTGGTTTCGGACACTTTTCCTCCACGTTTCGACTGCGCTCGGAAAGCCTTTTGCGAAAAAGACTTTCGGTTTCAGGCTCAGGCATACTAGGGTGAGCGGCCAAGTATTCCGCTCCATCCGGAGTAAGATAGTGATCTTGCGAGATCCTACATTGCAAGACTCGGCTGCCTGCGATTACAGACGGCACCGTCCCCAACAAATGAAAGCCTACAAGAATGGTGCTGAGAAGTCCAGTCTCCCAGAGCTGGAAGCTGGCCAAGGCAAGTCAAAGCTCCCAAAGATCTGAAAAATGCAAGTACTTGTAGGGTCAAGGCAGGTTGACGGGGCTCAAATTGTTGAATGACTTTGGCCTAAGTAGAACTCTTCTGTAACTCTAACATCGCTCTATCACGCTTGTATATCTGACTATGACCATAGCCTTCTGCAAGACTGCGGTCAGTGCCTCGGATTCAGCAGTCCAGCTGAACGTCTTTGGCTCGCAGGAAGACAGCAGACATGGTTTGCCCGCCGGGAACAGCAGTTCCAAGTGAAACTCTGGATTTTTGGACATCCTCTTGTGCCGTCCTATGTCCTATGAGACGTCTAATGCGCCTATACTGGGCTTCCGGAAATGAGGAATCCCAAGAGCTACCATGCAGCGACTGTCATGACATCGTTGACTGACACCCATCTTTCAGGCAACACTGGTACTTCGTCCTCATAACGGATGACTGTTTGTGGTCTTCCATTCTGTCCCGGAAACTCCCATCTAGGCCATCTGGCCCATACGCCCATGTTTCAGGCCGGCCGGTGCTGGCGGAGTCTGAGGGAGTCCGCCGCCACCCACAAATCCGCTTGAGGGCGTAAACCTCAAACAGGCTTGACGTGCAGCAACGAACGAGGCCTTAACCCCGAATGCTTCATACACTTTTTTGCATCTTTTACAATCGCCTGAAGGTTTGAGCATGTGGAGGTTCAGTTCTCATGACTGCACTTCCATACCTTGCTCGACAAGCTCGCAAGGACCACCTCTTCATTGCTTTGTTCAACCAGAAGCAACACAGACCACTTCCCACAGGCCCGTAACAATCAAGCCTGAACCCGTTGAGTTCATGTCGCCAAGCAGCACTGGGGAGCCAGGGATGGAACGAGGCCCTGGTGAGAAACCCCCTGTGCCCGACACCATTCCCGGAATTGCCGGCTTGGCTCCGAATCCTTGCCCGGGAGGAGCTCGGGTTGCTTGCGGTTGCATCATGGATGGCCCCATGATAATTGGAGCGTTGCTATAAGAAACCTCAGTTTGCATGTGGCATCACACTAGCCGCTAGACAAGGTGAGTGGCTGATGAGGTTGCCGACACGTGGCCGGTGGAACTTGCAGAGCCTGTAGAATGTTGTCGAGCTCCTTCTGGATCGCAACCGACTGATTCTGCAGCTCCGCCGAAGTCTGCAAGTGGGTCTCCGCCATTTGACCTCGCAATCTGCACCTTTGACCACCGACCGTGGCATATGCTGCAGCTTAGGCACGATGCTCGTCGAGATTCCCATAGCCTTCGGCAATGGCGCCTTTGCCGCCTTCGAACATCTGCTCCAACCTGAAAGCTCTCTAACGCTTCATGGAGTTTCGAAGCTCCACATGCAAGCTAACCGTCGCAGGTTTCGCACATCAATGATTGCCAATGCATCCTGGATGCAACTGATGCATCTGAATCTTCACCCCATCATTGGCGCTGTGCTTCTGGCCCACCTCCCAACAAACGGGTGGTTTGTGCGTGTGCAAAGTCACTCGTGTTTTACATGCCATGAACTTCGTCAGGGTCGCAGGTCTTGTCAGCTGCTTCGGATCCAGTGTGGCGTCGTACTTTCAACAGATTCATGTCAAAGTGGGTAAGGGTGCGTGACCACCAACATCACCGTGGCCTCGGCAGCCTTACCACAGAGAGTCGAAGTGTTTCCTGCGATGTTTTCCTTGGATAAAGAAACTTTAAACAAGATCCGCGTCTTTCGGATGTACAAAACACACACTGACCGTCCAATCCCCTGCCAGTCTCCAACATGGAATGGTATTGCTTCTCCTCCAGGCCGGTTCAGCTTTGAGGCCCAAGCTATGAATGCTCTACATAAACCTTACACCCCTTCTGCAGAGGTAGGGGGGTCCTTGCCAAGCTGGAACGCCAACAAATCAGCGCAGCGTGCCAGCTCTCCGCGATAGCGGACAATGTCCTGCATTGTACGCGGCTTCGACGACTCTCAGAGCTATTGTGCTGTCACACTCGGTCTCGACAGATTCCCCGCTAGGTCTAGGGTGGGGGATAACTGAAGAATACTGTCGTCGAGTCTGCTCGGCCCTGAACCAAGATGAACCAAGCCTAAAAATCTTTGCGGGTCATGCGGCAATTGCTGAATCAGCTGTGTTCAAACTGTGGTGTTGCTGGCGATGGCCACCATCACCGACATCATGACGAATATCGCTCGTGTCGTATGGAACTTCGCCTGTACCAAGGTCCTGTGTCATTTGGAGGACTTCGCGCTCGAACTCGCCGCACAACTGTTCGACGACTTGCATGCAGTAGCTGCCTTAAGGTGCGCGGGCTTAGTGTCCAGGAAGTTTCCTTTGCCCTTCGGATCGCATGGCAGCACGTTAAGCCAATAGCGGAAAGCATTTACCTTCGGCGTGTGGTCCGGCTGCCTGGAAGCAAGGTCAAACGCAACCCCCAGCCCTGCCCTCGATGGGACCAGCACGAACTCAGGAAGCTCAGCTGTGACTTGGTTGTGCAGGCAAGCCACTGTTGGCTCATGGCTGTTCCAACCGCGAACAATCCAGTGAAGAGGCAGAAGCTGCAATCAAATGGCTGCGGGGTTTCAACTCGTCATTGCGGGGATGCCACCACGAACGAGCCCAAAAAAAAAGATTGAGACGTTGGCTGATGCTGAGAGGTGAGCGCTCTGTTCTATCCTGGTTGCAACCCGAAAAGAGAAACGACACTCTGCACACGTCTCCGCCAAAACAGCCACATGGGTCCTGTGGTCGCTCCAGTCATCTCCTCAGCCACAAGCCGATGCGAAACATACGCCGCACAGTGCCCAATGCTGTGCATGTACGCAACATCCGTCCTTTCACCTTCGCCGCGGCCTGGCAATTTTGATGCACAGTCACGGCTTCTGGAAAGCGAACGTGTGCCTTTCTGCTCAACGAGTGCTTGTGAGCTTCATTTGCTTGGCCAATTACTGCCTCCATAGAAGGAATCGATTGGCAGATTCCGAGGAATTCGAGACGCGGACCTGCCCGAAAGCTACCACATCGCTGTGCTGCGTACCGCAATCCAGCGCACCACTGTGCTGCTCATGAGCTTGTTTGGGTATCCTTGACCGTGAGAAGCGGCAGCTTTCAAGCAGGGCGCTCGGCCTGTGCTATCGATGCTGCTCGTCGTGCTCTTTCACTGGAGCTGCCTGACGGCCTTTGGTATGCACAACATGTTTAAATCCAGGAATGCTTACGTCGTAGTAGGGCCAGAGCAACGGGAAAATGAACTTCTATTTTATATAGCTTACTCCCAAGACTGCCAGGCTTCCTTGTCCCCAAAATCCCAAAACCCACTCTTTTCGAAATTTGGGCTGCATGAGCGGCTATTTCTGTTCTCCGTTTCTCATGCTCATTGGTTCCGGATTCCTGCTCCACTGGTTGCTTTCGATTGCCTCTTCTGTGAACCGGGAGCTTTGGCCTTGCATTCCCGGGGTATGTGTTTCGCGGATGGCAACTCTCGGGTCCAAGCATGGACCATCGCAGGAGAGACAGCAAGAGAGAGGGACCCGACACACGTCATCACGCAGAAAAAACCTCGCTGTAGATGATAGCAATTATAGAGGCACGATCGACATGGTACAACCAACTAATGCTGAATCCAGTTATTCCTTACAAAAACTTCCACGGCATTTCTACATCAGCTTCGCCTGTGCTTTCATGCCAAGACTTCCTTGCTGATAGCACGTTTGTCAGTAAAACCATGGGTGCAGCCCAGGGGCTGGATGAAGTGTAGAAGGACCTGTGCTTTTGCAATCCAAAAGCTAGGTTCCCTGCAGCAGTGCACAAACAAACGATCATCTGAGATGTGGGCGACATAGCCGAGATGTTGTCATGGAAACGGTTGCATGGTCGGCTGCACCCCTCTGTTCAAACTACGGTCGAATTGTCGATGGCATTCCATTGCTCTCGTACGGCTGCTGTTGTTTTGGATTGACAGGCATGTCAATGAATCGAAGCTGCGACGTGCACGACACACCTAACTCGCTTACGGTCTACGAACTTGAGGGCTTGGCATCCTACTATCTACAATGCGAATTGTTCTAACCGAAAACCAATGATAAGAAGGCGAACCTGACGTTGTTCTTGTGAAAAGCTGCTTTGCACCGGCACGTATTATTGCTGTGTTGACCGTGAAGCACGGCACCCGCATGCCGAGAGCAAATTGCTGTTCTCGGCTCGGCGAAAAAACTCTTCCTCCGAAATGAAATTGCGGCAAAGCGGTGCGCACCGCTGCGCTCGTCCACCTCGGAAAGGTCTCCGCAACGAATCGGGCCCTCCGGGCTGAACCGCTCGCTAACGGCAACCGAGCGATCTCCGGATCTCAGCCGCCGCCCAAACGCCAATCGAGCCGCCCAGCCCGGAGGTGCTCCACCATGTCCCCGCTGAACCACGTCCCATGCCAGCCAACCTGCGTGCAGCCCGGAGGCGGCTCGGCCGCGGGCCCTTCGGCTGTTTCAAGGCCGAAGACGACAAGGCGGCAGCGGCGGGCACGGAGCAGCTCCGGATACGTGTGCCGCCGCTTGCACTGTGCCGCGCGGGCGAGCGAAACTCCCGGTCAGCTCCCGGTTGCACATCGGCTGCGGGCTGTGGCGAGCCGTCGCGCGTGAGTGGGGAGACGAGTGTCGCATCAACGGCGAGCTGAGCTCCGTGCCAGAAGGGCAGGCCATTGTCCTGCACAACTCAGGCAGGGGGCAGCTCCTGCAGTACGGCCCGCAGCCCTGCGTAGGAAACCGGCAGCTGTCACGGACGGCGAGCTGGCCCCCACCCTCCACAGAGGCCATTTGCTATGACCTCAATGCGCCGGTCGCCTTGTCGAACAAGGTTGACATTTTTCTTTCCCCGACGCACCTTTCTGCGTCTGCCAGAAGGCACCGTCTTCAGCCGGCCAGAAGCGGCGCTCAAGCTGCGTTCACGCTCGGAACGGCAGCATGCTGGGCCCCGCAGCGTCAGCGAGGTCCAACACGAGCTCGAAGGCTGGAGCGTCTGCCGCTGCGCGCGA